TGATGGGCACTAGAGGCTTGAATGAAATTTGAAAGTTGCTAGGAGTTTCTAAAAGAAGAAGAGAATCTTTTTTGCCTATTTAAGATAAGTAAAATAGATCTCAATGTCTCCTTTGCCTTCCTTTCAAAACCCCTCATCTTATAAACTCTTGTTATAAGAGGGATTGAAGCAAGGAGAGATACATTACTATGTGTTCCACCCTGTACCCAGCTGGGTTGTCAACAGCAAAGACTTTTATTTGCTGGAGTGATGAGCACTGCACAGATGCCTGTAATCTGCTCAGGCAAAAGAAAAAGAAGCTTCATATCCAAAGATTCGCTTCTACATTACCTTGAAACACGTCATGCGCCTGATGAAGTGGGCTGGCTGTAGTCCACAAAAGCTTCTGGTACATTAAATTCGTCAGTTTTTAAAGCGGCTGCAAGATTCATGGTTTCTGAAATCACATCACAAGTGGGACCTACAACAGAATGTTGCCATGGGGAGTGTTACCTGTTCAGGAGTTTAGCCACTCCACTCCCTCATCTTTTGTCCCCCTGTGGCCACTGAGCATGCACAGATATTATTGGACTGTTCACTTTCCCCTTATTTCTGCACCACCCCAAAGATTTTTTTTTAAAAAATAAATAAATTCTGCAACCTTGAGAAACCTATTTGGCTGATACTTCTCCTGCTGTTTGTGGGGTGTGTGTGTGTCATTTTTTTACTACATAAAACAGGGGTGGCCAATGTGAGGCTCTCCAAATGCTGTTGGACTCCATCTGCCATCAATTGCAGTCATCATAGTCAACGGTGATGGGGAGTTGTAGTGCAACAACTGGAGGGCACCATGTTGTGGACAAAAGCAATAACACAGCCTGAACATTGGAAATAGCAAGAGCCGCAGAATTCTAGGGATGCAATCCCATGCGTGGGTATAGTGCAATTCTCTGCGCATCTCTTCATGTTAGTCTCTATGGTTAGAGATGTTAGTCCCTATGGTGTTTGCTAGGGCTTTTTCCCAGGTAAGTGTGTATAAAAACTGAGCTCAGCTGGACTTACTTCCAAGCAAACACACATAAGATCTGAATGTGTGGCGAGCAAGGATCTAAAAACCACCGCCTACACAAATTGCAGAGCTTTTCCATTTTCCAAAAATGTATTTCATGTGCCCTTTGTTGTTGTTTGGGCTCATTATGTTATTTGAATTTGTTTGCTTTTCCCAGGTCGATGCAGATTAGAAAGTTGCATTTGGAAAGCAAACAACCATTGCATTTTCAATCTTTGAGTCATGATTCATTTGGCATATTACAAAGCTCCCGAAGAGAGCAAATGCAATTTTTTAATATTTATTTTTATTACAGGTCTCTCCTGCCCTGCTGCTCAAAGGAGTCCAGGGCCGCAAAGAAAGAAAGCAGCAAAAAACCCCACACCATTAAAAAACAAATGGAAACATGTTAACTATTTAAAAACATTAAGAACCTCTAAAAACATTTTGAAGCTGCCCCATAATCTCACAGCTAATAACTTTAAAATTGCCAGGAGTGGCATATTTCAGCCATCAAATGTCTGGATAAAGAGAAGCCCCTGCTGAATGTTAATACTGAGGGAGGGAGACACACCTCACTCATTCCACAAATTGGGAACAGCCACTGGGAAAGCCTTGTTGTGGGTCAGTGCCAACTGGGCAGCACCAAGGGGAGCCACCATCAACGTGGCCTTGGCTGATGATCATAAGGCTTAAGGTGATTGATAGGTCTTATTGTGCATTGTGGGGAGACTGGCATAAAAAGGTGCCTGAGAACTTTTTCTACATCTGGCCCTGCAATACAGTGCAACAACATGTAGGGCAATCTAGCACTGATAAGGGATGTTTGAGGTGTCAATGAAGCAGCTGGCCACAATGGAATCACTAAAAGGATGGCATCATTAGGGGAGAGATGATAGATCTTGGGTGTCAAGCTAGAGAAGGAAGATATCTTTTATAGGAGAAAGAATTGTACCAAAAAGACATAGAAGACTTTGAACAGCCACTCCTAATTGCTGAATGTCTGACAGTCGATTTACATTTATACAATGATTATCACTTCATCATTTGAAACTTCCATCATATGTCTAATGTATTTGTCTGGGCTTTCGCATTAATTACTACTTGAGCTGGATGTATAAATCTAACATTAATTGTTTAACACAGTTTGTCTGGTTCCTCCTCCTCCTCCTGCCATCATTTATTGGTTTTGCAGGTATATCAGTTTTAAAAAATAGATGTGATCAGATGTCAATCAGTTAATTTGTCCTGATTTTTTAAAATAATTTTCCACAACTGGGACTAAACAAACTGGTGTAACTGGAATACTAAATATCATCACGTGGTTATCAACTAAAAGCAATCAGATAAAACTATTACCCTAAATCAAAGACTATTTAATATGTTGTCAAAGGGGGTCTACCAATGCTTTCAATGTATCTTCTGGAGAACTTACAGCTCAGTGGTGGAGCAGCTGCTTACATGAGAAGGTTCCAGGTTCAATCACTGACATTTCCAGGTAGTGTTGGTAAAAACTCCCTGTCTGAAATTCTGGAGAGCCTCTGCCAGTCAGTGTAGACAATATTAAGAACATATGAAGAGTGTTGTGTTGGCCCTATATAGTCCAACATTCTGTTCTCACTGTGGCAACCTAGAGGCCTATAGGAGACCTACTAAGCTCAAGAGCACTCCGCCCTTCTGAGGTTTCAAGCAACTGGTACTTAGGAGCACATGCCTCTTACTGTAGAGGCAAACCATAGCCCTTAACCTAACTCTTATCCTGCATGAATTTGTCAAACCCTCTTTTAAAGCCACCCAAGCTAGTGGCCATCACTGCCTCTTGTGGGAGCAAACAAACTCTATAGTTTATGCACTCTTTGAAGGAATACTTTATTTTATCCGCCTGGAATCTTCCACTATTTAGCTCCATTGGATGCCCACAAATTCTGGTGTTACAGGAGAAAGAGGAGGGAAACGTTTCTCTATCCACTTTCTGGATAGTTGTATAAATTTCTGTTATGTTACCTTTTACTCTCCTTTTCTCTAAACTAAAGAGTCCCAAATGCTATAACCTTTCTTCATAGTGGAGTTGTTCCATCCCTTTGATAATTCTGACGTCCCTTTCCTGAACCTTTTCCAACTCTACGTTATACTTTTTTGAGCTGATTCAGTACTAGGCAGCTTCCTGTGTGGTGTCCCATGTTAGTTCACATGAGTTCTTTGGCAGCTTGACAGGAATTCCTCAGTGAGATGAAGAGCTGAAAGACAGCTCACTCACTACCACTGATCTTCCGCAACACTAGCCACAAGAGGGTCGGCGGTTTGAATCCCCGTGACAGAGTGACCTCCTGTTGCTTTGTCCCAGCTCCTGCCAACCTAGCAGTTCAAAGGCACGCTAGTGCAAGTAGATAAATAGGTACTGCTGCAGTGGGAAGGTAAACAACATTTCTTTGTGCTCTGGTTTCCGTCATGGTGTTCTGTTGTGCCAGAAGCAGTTTAATCATGCTGGCCACATGACCCGGAAAGCTGTCTGTGTACAAACGCCAGCTCCCTTGGCCTGAAAGTGAGATGAGTGCTGCAGTGGCAGAGGAACCCTCTCCGGCACCCGGGGCGGGGCAGCCCATTCAGAGTACGCATGTGCGGCATCCCGTACGGACTGCACATGTGTGGCATCCCACACATGCACACTCCATACGGAATGCCACACATGCACAGTTTGTACGGGATGCCACTCGCACATGGTGGCCGTATGGGCTGCCGCTTGCACGGCGTCCATACAGGCTGCGTGAGAGGCATACCCTACAGAGTGCGCATGTGAGGCAGCCCGTATGGCATGCAAGTGGCAGTCCATATAGACTGTGCATGTGTGGCGATCGTATGGGCTGCTGTTTGCACGGCGACCGTACAGGCTGCCACACAAGTGGCATCCTGTATGGACTGCCGTGTGAGAGGCAGCCTGTACAAGCACCCGTATGGACAGCGTGTGAGAGCAGCAGCCTGTATGGACACCACACGAGCGGTGCCCATACGGACTGCACGCGCCCTCGGCCGCTCTACAGCTGGGGGGAGGCAGGGGCCATCTTTAAACCCCCTCCCCCAGAGTGGCACCCAGGGTAGCCCACCCCCTCCGCCCCCCACTTCGTATGCCCCTGGAGTGCCGCAACCCCATAGTCACCTTTGACTGGACTTAACCACACAGGGGTCCTTTACCTTTTACCTGCCTGTTGTGGGCAGTGCTATTTTTCTAGAAAAGGAAGTGCCAGAACTTACCATGAACTTGTTCTCTTAACTGCAATGGGGCCCACCTGAGAGGTGCCAGAACTGAGTTCTGGCGAGTTCTGGCTGGAAAAAAAAGCCCTGGTCTTGGGTATAGGAAGATCACAGGAAGTTGTCTTATATGAGTACTGAGCCAGTTGCCTACACCAATCAGCAGCAGATGTCCAGGGAGACTTTTCCAGCCCTACCCGGAGATACTGGGGATTGAACCAGGGACCTTTCGCATGCAGAGCACGTGACACACGAACCAGGTGGGCACACTGGGATGCTGCCCCAGAAGAAAGGGTGTAGACACCCAAAGGTTCCATGTCTGATATGGATACTGTTCCCTGAAGGTTGAACGTTTGAGAACACTACATGAGATCGTTGTGTATCAGCCACCAGCACTAGCAACCATTAAAATGCTGTGTTGCACATCAGCTGCCAAATATTGTTAAATATCAGCTGCCGGATATCAAATATTGAAAATGAGTTCCCACTGCATGTCACACACAGGCATCAAGGAATTGGCAAATACCCTGAAAATATCACATTTGTAATGGAGAATTTTGGGAGCAAATTCATTTCATCTCTCCCTCAGCCCTGCCAGGTGCTTTTGAAAGGCTGGAGAGAAGGCAAGACCTCCCATATTTGCCCCAGTCATAGAATCATAGAGCTGCAGAGTTGGAAGGGACCACAAGGGTCATCTAGTCCAACCCCCTGCAATGCAGGAATCTTTTGCCCAACATGGGGCACAAACCCATGACTGAGATTGAGAATCTCAGGCTCTAGTGACTGAGCTAACCCTGCCAGGTTATGCTGCTGAGAGCCTGGAGGGAAGGCAAGAATCTTGTATATTTGGTCCAGTGCCCAGGCATCACCTTGTAGTAGCATATTTGGCCAAAACATGGAAGGCAGAAGAGGAGATGATGGAATTTGCAATAGTCACCCAACAGTTAAGGCCAGCAAGCAGCGAAAAAAAGAACATTATAGTCACTTACGAGCACCAATGGAATTGAAGTAGGCAAAAATGTCATTACACAGATTGGAATCTGGCCAGGCCATTGGCTTTTACACCTTTGCTGACACTAAAGGAGTGCCCAGGGGAGCAGTCAATACTGCAAGTAGTCAGACGGGTCTCTCTTTTGCATCTCATTTGGAAGGTGACAGCAGAGCATCCTTCTCTTTCCTTTTTCTGTTTACTATGCTTTCCTTGCTTGGCTCTTCATTGTGATTCTAATTAATATAGAACCAGCCTCACTGGGTTTTAGCAGGGGGTGTTGTTAGCAGTGGTTGGTGGGGTGTGGGTGCACGCTTAGCTCTGGGTCCCTTGCACCATGCTTTGGGTCTCTTGGCCTGCTTTTTTAAAAATGCAGTCTTTCCATCCCTTTCACTAGAGTTCCTCCCCATCTACGTATGTTAATTCCTAGGCTCAGCCACAGTGGTGGAGGTCTTGGTAATTGCCTATTGCACTGTGCTCTATGTGAATCTACCTGGGGCTGCCATGTGTCTGGGATTTCCTAGACATACTGTATCTCATCTTGGTATGTTGGAAATAGCGTCTGGGCTGAATTTCCAAAAATTGGTAGAAGTGTTGGGTTTTTTGGCAAATTTCCTTAGAAATAGTTCAAAAACTCCTCAAAAAGCTCAACAACTTTTGTGCCCGGATTTTCACTTTTTGAAAGATGGCAACCCCATCTACCCTTAAAGCTGGTTCAGAAATTGCAACTAGCACAGAGTTCTGTGGCCTGCCATACCAGTATGGAAAGTTCTGCACTGGCTGCTAGTATATTACCAAGCTAAATTAAGGATATGGCATTTGGTGTAGAAAGCCCTCAACAGTCTAGGACCAGGTTGCCCAAAGGGCTGTCTTGTCCTTTATACATGAGCTAGATCAGCAGAATCATTTGGAAGAGTTCTTCTCGTTCCACATTTATCTCATGTTCACTTAATTTCTAGGTGAACCAAGACTTTAAGTGAAGTGGCACCAGTACCTATTGAAACCAGGCAGGTTCTGATATTTTGTTGCTGGTTGTAAATGTTTTTGCTTTGGCAAGTATTTTTTTGAGAATCAATTTGATTCCATGTTGGTTATTTGTTCTGCATTTTAATGATTTTATAACTCTGGCAGACCAACTCTGTGTTACAAAGATGTTTGCAGATGGGACCTGAAGGCTGGCAACCTGGCAACCCCACCATATGGGACTCAGATCGTGCAGCCACAGCAGTGACCAGTGAAGGAATGACTGCTGGGAGGAGCACAGAGAGAAGATAACACCATGGTGCATCTGCAGCAGCACAACCGGACGCCTTCATCTGCCCCAGCTGCAGCAAAACATGTCTCTCCTGTATCAGTCTCTATAGCCACAGCAGGCACTGCAACCTTCCAACAGTTTTACTTCACCCCCAAAAGGGTGCTGCTCCATTATCTCCTGAGACAGACTGTGATGGTCTGGGATTCGGATTCGGATGCTGAACCTGAAGAATCCCAGCCTGCACAGGATTCCCTGCCTCCAGAACCAGCTGAGCCGGGGCTGAGCCTGAAGGGTCCTCACCTGTGCTGGATCCTCAGGTGCAGGCACCAGCTGAGTCTGCTCTGGCTCCTGAGGGGATGGAGGACCCATTGCCTGCAGGTGCTCCACTCTTAGCCCCATCAGGGGAAGTTGAGGTTGCCTCTGGGTCCAATAACCCTCCAGCCTCTCCTGAGCTACAGAGGCTCAGGGCAGAGAGGCGGAGGGAACTAAGTTCTTGAAGGAGAAGTGCTCGCCTCCAGGCCAGGAGAGGCGAGTCACCTGTGGACCGGGACCGCCCTATGCCTCGGGGCAGATAAAAGCCAGCCAGCCCCAGTCCCAAGTTGCGGGAGCAACTTTGTTGGTTGACAGTTCCTGCCTGAACCCTGTCCTGCTATCCTGCGGGAGCTCCTGACCTCACCTGACTACCTTCCCTGCATCCAGCTTCAGCTTTTACAGACTGCCTCCATACTGCACCTTCAACCTCGGACTGGACTCAGACCTCACCTCCCGGTTAGCCCACGGGACCAGCACACAGACGGACACCAACAACAACCAACAATTTTATGATACTTTAACATTTTCATCATACACTATCATGCTACTGTTTATGATCTGTTGGCTTATAAATATTCTTAAAAAGAAATAATAGCAAAAACCCTTCCTAAGGTGCAAGGCTCTAATATCACGGTTTTGTCTTTTGGAAACTGATGTTGCTTTTTTTATTAAGAAAAATAGCACCATCTGTTCGAGTGTTTGCCTGCTTTCCACACACTCAGCTTGCATATTTGTAAATAAAAGGCGATTGGAACTGATTCTGTAGGAAGTTGCTTCTACCACTCAAAGAAATAGGAAGTGTGATAGAACTTCCACCTTTAGTATGAACAGCAGCTTCTACCATAGTTTAACAAGGGACTTTTCAGTGGTGGTGCCCCAGTTTGTGACGCTCTCTGCCCCCTAGGGAAGTAGGTCTGTTCCCTACAATGACCATTTTTAGATGTTGACTGGAGACACAATTGTGCACCTGACCTTTGGCGACATAAGCAACTGGTCTGGTTGTGTTAAACTAGTTTTTTAATCTTTAGATATGTATTCTTAAAATATTTTGATTACTTATGGTTATTATTCATTACAGTTGTATACCGCCCTTCATCTGTAGTTCTCAGGGCAGTTGACAGCATAAAAATACCAGATAAAAACACAAAACACAGAATAAAAACACAAACAGCCAATAACCACCCCTCCCCCACTTTAGAAATGGTGTTTGTATTACAAGGCTTCTCTGTAGGTGTGCCGCTCAAAGCCAGATGCTCATATATCTCCAGGGAAAACAAGCCTGGCTTCATAGTGAACCCTTGGGTTTCAGTTGTATTTGTTTATGATGCAATGTGACAAAAGGACTTGGAGGTATTCAGCTTCATCAGCACATAGGCAGGACAGCCCACCAGTCCACAGCTGCCTGCAAAAACCAGCTAAGGCATAATACTTGACTGTGCTGTATCTATAAAAGCTATATGTAGAGAAACATTATGTACAGGTGCTTTGAAAGCAAGCTATATTCCCTGACACAAGCAGGTCAGGTGTTGTACTTTTACAACCCCAAATGAAATACATCCAAGTCAAGATGGTGGTGTAACTGGCCATTTCTCATACTAGCAGTCAATCCTGTTCATTTTGTCTGAAGACACAAGGCATCCACCCAAAACACTCTGCAAGTCAGAATTGTTCAAAGGGTTGCAGAGCAACTGAAGCACCAAATTTTCTACCCAGAAGTTCAAAATGTTGTAATTCAGACTTACCCAGTTTGAATTTGGTTGCACCACACTAAAGACAGCAACTTCTACACTTACTTAATATTGTGGTCCTATTCCCTGCTGACTTGAAGCCCAGGCATCATGTCTCTGCTGTCTATGGTTTCATCAGATATTGCAATAGGGAGAGCTAGAAACGTTTTTGAAAAGAAAATAGCACTAGAGGTCAAATGCTAAATTTGTGCGCAGCACTTCCACAACGTTTTATTGCACCTTTAATGTCACTTTGATTTCATCCCCACTTCTAAAACTCATACATGCACTGTATGACTGCAAAACAGAATCCATTCACCGGCTGGAACTATAGATATTGACTAAGAGCACATTGAAGCAGTGATGGACTGCTCTAACATTTTCTGTAGCCTGCCACCATTGTTCCACGTTCCATTATGAAGTGCACTGCACAGTAATGGTTTTCCGGAACAGAATAAAGAATAAAACACTCAAAGCTTAGGTTACACTTGAGAGACTCCTTCAACGGTAGTCCTAATTTTTTTTAAGTCACAATAGCTCACAGATGGTTCTTATGCCAAGTTATCTGAACTGCTTCTTTGGTTCCTTCTGGGTCTGCCCACAGCTTGCTAGCAATTGTCTCTATCTTATGATTCCCATACAATGAACTAAAGTGAGACTGGAGCAGATGCAGTACATGAGGTCATGCTCTGTGCTACCACCTCTGGCATGAACATACGATGCAGTGATTTCCCAGATGCTCTTGGCTGCACAGAATAGGACAAGTAAGCCCTGGATACAAGCAGTTTTCGGCTGATGAAATCAACAGGGAGTAGCACAAAAAAGAGAGAATTTCTTCTCCCAGTGCCCAACAGTCAAGGAACCTGGGCAGAAGGGAACTGTCAAAAGATACTTGAGAAGCCCCACAATCTCTGAAAGAATTTTGCCATAACAGTATTTCCCCAGGCAATAACGGTCATTAACAAGGAGAAAACCCTGAGCCTGGTTTGCTGCTGATTCTTTTTATGTCCTGCTCATCTGGAGACCAAGGCTGTGTACACACTATAACTAAAAAGCACACACACACCCAAGAATTCTGGGCACCGTAATTTGCTACGGGTGGCTAGAAATTGTAAATTAAAATACTCAGAATTCTTGGAAAGGGAAAAATGTACTTCAAATGTACTTCATACTTGTATGGCGTTTATGCAGCCCAAGTCCTTTGATGAAAAGTTGACAAGAGTTAGGTTATGTTTCGCCTGGAGAACAGACAAGATATAGCTGTCTTCAAATGTAGAAGGTGGAGCAACTTTGTCCTCCGTCACTCCAGAGGGTTTTAACTCAAACCAATAGTTTCAAAGGACAAGAAAGCAGACTTCAGCTAAACATTAGGAGGAACTTCCTGAAGGCATGATCTCCTTGACAATGGAGCAGGCTGTCTTGGAACCTGATGGACTTGCTTTCATTTGAGGTCCGTAAGCAGAGACTGGATGGCTATTTATGGGGGAAATTCAGTGAAAGCTGGATTTTTCATGAGTCTCAATGTCCTCAGAACTTTGATTCTGAAAATTCTGAAACCTGTACATCTATAATCAAGGCCCACCCTTGTAAAAATGAGGGTTTAGGACTTTTTCAGCCTAAATGTCACATTGTCTCCCTTCTGGAGGGGCACACCCACTTCTGGGCAGGGCCAGAGGCAGTGGCATGGCATGGAAAACACAGGGGTGGTTGCCCTGGCTGCAAAATTGTTAGGGCCACAAAATTCCAGCACCTGGTGTTGCTTCAATACAGCTGTGTGCTTCTGTCGCTAGGATTCATTGAAAACGGCTTCTCCATGCGAACCAGGAAGTGACCTATCCAGACAATGGAATGACTCTTCTTTTCTTATCTCTGCAGCTTCAGTCTCCAGGGTGATGTGCAGTTGAATGCACATGCGTACTCCATCCGTTTTCCTCCCTCTGCCCCAGGCACTGGCAACCCATGCTACGTCACTGGCCAGAGGCAAAAGTGGGTGAAGCAACCAATGGGACTCCCATATTTATACAGCAGGCTACATTCCAGCCATGAAAAAGTCAGAGGATTCTACACACACACTTTTGTTCATCCAGGCAAGCAAGAGGCATTATCATAGTTCAATGACACATTCTAGCCAGGCAAAAGTGCTCAAGGAGGGCACAGAGAAGGGCTGGTATGGGGTTTGGCCTGGGAGGGAGCACTGCCTGAGGAGAATTTCAAGGGCCAAACAGAATGACATGGAGGGCCCTGTTTGGTCCCTGGGCCTGAGGGACTCCACCCCTGACATAAATGTAGTCAAGGGGAGCAAGCAGGAGAGAGAGAGAGAGAGTTTATTATGTGGTTACTGTCGTATGTTGGTATGGGGAAACTGGACTAGGGTTTTCATGTCATGTTTCATTCAGAATTTCATCCTTCTCAAGAACATTTCAGAAAGGCCCACTAGGCCTCTGGCTGTGGCGATGTGGATAAAAATACAAGCACATGCTTACATCATGTGCATTTCAAACAGATCAAATGTTCAGATCAAACCTTGCATAACAGATCAAACCTCGCATAAAGCAATGCTAATGTTCTTTTTTAAATAAGGAAATAATCACAGACTCCAAAATAACTAGATAATATTAATTGCTTCCTTTCTCTTTATCTCTCCCCACCCCCCGCTCTCCCTCTGTTGATATTCTCTCTTTTTGCAGGTTTGGTGAAAAAGAAATACTTTCATGCCTTACATACAGTCCAGCTCTGGCCTTATGTTTTGCTTATGTCTATCTATATTATCAGATATTGAAGGAAACCAACGGGGACTGGGAAGAGAGAAGTTACAAGATTTTGTACAGCCAGCTATCAGAGTTGCAAATGCCCTGGAGAAGAGATGCTGTTTCTAAAATATTCTCAGGAAAAGATACATCTACCCATCTCATGTTATCCCTCAAGCAGTTGTTCTCCCCCTGCATATACCAAACCACACAACGAGGCCGGCTAGCGGAGAAACCAGCAATCCACAAGCCAGCAGAGTTTCAAATTATTTTCCTTTCCCACCCAGTATTCATCAATTGAAAATCAGCAAATTTCATGAAATGTCCACATGCCCTCAGTGGCAACAGGAACAATCTGGTTTTGAATCTTCTGGATTTCTTTTACTCAAATTTAGATGCTTTGGTGTGTTTTGATATTGGTGTTTCACTGATATTTAATAGACTGTACGATTAGAGATTTTAAAAGTATTAAGCAGTACAGAAAGGCTTTTAAATAATTTTTTTTTCCAAAGCTAGCCATTTCATATTCATGGGTGGAATGAGGGGGCAGTTGCACCCATCTTGAGGAACACAATTCCAATATTTCCAGCTTTTTTAAAAAAAAAGAGAGAAAAAGGTTCCAGCATTTCTAGAACATGAGATATGAGGGAAAATATACAGGTACTATCCTTCACATATTTTTGCAAGAAACTAGCTTTACTCTCCCTCCCCCACAGTGGAAAAATCCCTATGGACACACATCTTCCTATCTTCTCCACAGAATGTTTCTGTGTAGAGCTAACTGAAGATTTGCAGATATTATTTCTTTTTAAAATTCTGAGATTTCCCGCTGCCTCTTTTTCTTGTTCAGCGACAAACTGGTCAATTTGCCGAATTTTCTCTGGATATTCCCCACCATTTCCTTTGGTGATGGCTGTCGTTCTTTTCTCCCTCACAGAATGATACTAGGTTCAGGGCATTGTAAAGTATTCAAAATGGTTGACAAATTGCAGGCCGAAAGGAGGAAGACATTTGAAACAGAGATTTGCAACCGACACAATTAATGCAACAATAAACAACCAACATTGCATAACACCCCAGAAAACATTCCTCAATCAAATCAGGATGGATACACAATAAATTTAGAAGTGACATCAGTCCCTCTTCAAATTTACCATGTCTTAAAAACCATCTTCTTCTCTTTTATCAACTTGTGCTCGCAAGATCAACGTGAGAGGCCTAACTCTGTGCTCCATCATTGTTAGAGGTAGGGTAGGTGGTCACAAGAGGAAGAACAGTTTCTGTGGTGGCACGTTGATGATGGAACGTGCTGTATTGAACCAGTAACCCTCTTCATTTACTTTCAGACAGTTAAGGACTGCTTATTTCAGCAGGCTTTGTCCATCTGATGGTTGCTATTGTGCTTTTAGGTAAAGGTAAAGGGACCCCTGACCATTAGGTCCAGTCACGAGGACTCTGGGGTTGCGGCGCTCATCTCGCTTTATTGGCCGAGGGAGCCGGCGTACAGCTTCCGGGTCATGTGGCCAGCATGACTAAGCTGCTTCTGGTGAACCAGAGCAGCGCATGGAACACCGTTTACCTTCCCGCCAGAGCGGTACCTATTTATCTACTTGCACTTTGACGAGCTTTTGAACTGCTAGGTTGGCAGGAGCAAGGACCGAACAATGAGAGCTCACCCCGTCATGGGGATTCGAACCACTAAGCTTCTGATCGGCAAGTCCTAGGCTCAGTGGTTTAACCCACAGCGCCACCCATGTCCCACTGTGCTTTTAGTTGTACCTAAATGCTGATGCTGCTGTTTGTCATTAATTCTGAATGTAAGAAGAACCTCTGTAGAGCAAGTCAAAAGCCTATCTAGTCCTGCATGCCTTCCTCACATTGGCCAACCAGTTGCCTATGAGAAGCCCAAAAGCGGGACCTGAGCACAACATTACTTTCCCCACTTGTGAGTCCCAGCATCTGGTGTTCAGAAGCACACTGCCTTTGACAGTGGAGGGAGGGCAGAGCCATTGTAGCTAGTGGCCATTCATAGCCTTGTTCTCCATTATTATTATTATTATTATTATTATTATTATTATTATTTTAATGTTCTTAAAAGTTTGGTTTTGTTGTTCTAAATGAAGCTCTTAGCTGCTTTGAGTACACCTTATGCAAAAGTGGGATCTTGCCATACATATGTGAATAATAATAATAATAATAATAATAATAATATACTGCCCATCTATCTGGGTTGCCCCAGCCACTCTGGGCAGCTCCCAATAAAATATTAAAAACACAATAGAGAAGTTTCTTAAGAATTACTTCAGTACCTTAAAATATAAAGGTACTGAATGTAAAATGTAAAATTCTAGGACTACGTTTGGAAATGTGTATCATTTCTGTGAAAAGGCCAGCAAATCAGTCTCTTGTTGGGCATTTAAATAGCTAAAGGGTTTCCTTAAGAATGAAAAATCTCATGTGATTATATTTTTTTACTGTGCAGATGGATTTGTTTTCACACTCAGATGAACTGAGATCTACGGTAATATTTACCATCGCAGTTGCTTGTTTAGGGTTCCCTTTCCACCCTTCCTTTCATTTTATCCTCCAGACCTCACATTTCCACATATCTTTATGCGCAGTTCAACTGCTAAGAGCGTGTCCAGAACATTTTAGAAGTAACACGGACAGTGCCTTGGGGCTACAAATGGATGCTGGTTGAAAGATTAGCTTATCTTTCAAGCTTGTTACCTGATTTTTCACCTTCCTTCAGGAGCTGTTGAAATTTCTTTCTGTTCTCTAGTCTACATTGATATGAAAAAGTATAAACATACTAAAGGAGAATCTGTCATCAGTAATGGGGCTCAGGGCTGCTGGTGAATTTTGTTCCTGTTGAAGGGAGTCCATAGCACAGAGTTATCCACTAAGCACAAAATTTATGAAATGGGATATTCACTGGGAATGCTGTATTGAAGGCAATTAAAGTGAGGACACACACACAGGGGGAGAGAGAGAGAGAGAGAGAGAGAGAGAGAAGGCTGCTTTCAAAAAACCATAGGAGATAGAGCCTTTTTTCTCCCAGCCAAGCATTTCAACAAAAAACCTTTTCAAAGATTTGCAGCACCTGTTAGGACAGCGTTAGAGGATATGGACTTTTTCTGGGCCACCGAATTAACGAACCATAATATGAATAGATTTAGAAGGACTGAAAATATTTTCACTGGCTTGTCAGGTTGCTGCCATCTCACACGGAGTGGAATCTGAGACTCCTGCAGGCTTTAATGCTTCTTTTGACAAGGTAACATGTGGCGTTATTGGAGAAGGCACTGTGTGCTGAACTGATTTGTTTTTGAGTTCAATCTGGCCGTGGCCAAGCAGTGAGTCTGTGAGCTCATTTGACTCCGTGGGCAGGGCCTGTTGCAAGACAGGTCCCTTCCAACTCTACAATTATATTATTCTAAACTTCGGATCACATGCCATTTTGTTCTTCCTCAATTTGGCACCACATGCCAAAGCCTCTTGACAACGTACAATAAAAATGATTAAGTACATCCCATATCAATGTAAGTACATCTCATATCATTGGTGCCAATGTGAAATCAATAAAACAAAGCCACAGCAAGGAGGACAAAGGGATGGAAACCAATGAACCCTTAGCCCAGAAATGGAAGCAAGAAGAAATTCTGACGAAAGAAGAATGGCAGACAAAATTAATGGACTATGCAGAATTGGACAAAATGACAGGAAGGATTCGAAACCTGCTGGACCAGAGATTTACAGAAGACTGGAAGAAACATATGAATTATTTGAAGAGCAACTGTAATCAACAAATTACACTAGTAGGACTACAAGAAGTTTTGTAAGGAGAAATATATGAAGTGTTACAAAGTAGAAAAAGATAGAGATATTGGTAATGAGTTTGAAATGTAACAGGGAAAATAAGAAATGCATACTAAGAGATTAGATTGGAAAATTTTCAGACAGGACTGATGGAAGTCAAAAAAAATTGAATAAGATGTAAAATGTATAATGTTTTAAATATATTTTAAAATATATTTTATTTTAAAATATATTTAAAAATAAGATGTATGTTTAATTACTGTTGAAAATGATATGTTAAAAAACTAATAAAATTTTATATGTATATAAAAAAAGAAGCCAAAGAACCCTACAAGAAAAAAGCAGTCATCAACAGACTGACAGGGGAAAAAATTAATGACTGAGATAGCGAAAGTTGTTAAAATTATGACATGATTAAGCTAGCAAAAGCTAAAATGATTACATCTTGTTGCCACCCTCCATACTTCAGCAGTAAGGCCTGCATCGTTGATATTAGGGTCTTGGTAGGCACATAGAAGTAGAGGCATTCTGTTAGGTCAGGGGTTGGGAAACTCAGGTCAAAGGGCCAAATGCAGCTCTTCAGGCCTCTCGATCTGGTCCTCAGAACTCTCCCTTCCACACACCTTCTCCATAGGAGAAGGACTTCGTGGGTTCTGCTTTGCACCTTAGAGTTTTGGCTTGGTTGGAATGTGTCCTTGAACAAATCTTTGGCTTGTCTATATGTGGAATAGAGTGGGGTGTGTTTATAAACCTCTCCTACTGTACAGAAATTACTGGGATGCAGCAACACTCAGAATGCCATCTGCTTCACTGGCACTCCAAAAAATATTGATGCCCCAAGCAAGGAAATGTTGTACATTAATGCACACAGGCAGTGTAATTAAAAAAAAAAGTTATAAAGGAGCAAAGCTGCTTTGGCAGGGGGAAAATTATAGTTTATGTAAATCTGTGCTTAACCATTTTTAGGGATGTGAGGTTGACCATTTCTCTGATGGGAATTTTTCTACTCAGGAACACCTTCCGCCCAGCTATTTTCCCACTCGTGGACTAGGGTAAATGTAGACTTGGAAGCCCACAAGAGAGAAGGAAAGAGCTTATGGGGCAACCTTGAACAGAAAAATAGCTCAATTCACATCCATCTAAATCTGCATGATTTCAGTGGAATGTCAGCTGCACCTCCTCATTAATAGGGATTCCCACCCTCCTGTGTTTGACTCTACAGCTGGTCTGTGATCTGGAACTAATCCCACAAGTTTGTTGTACGCATGAAGGGCTCTCTTCATTGCTGAATCACACATTAATTCTCTCTCTCCCCTCACCCCCCTTTATATAAACCACTGACAGGGCCATTCTTTTCAGCTGCAGCAGTTCAAAAGCTGCCTACCAGACGTAGGAGGCAAAGTACTGTGTAAGTAAATGAAAGATTAAAATAATAAAGCACTAAAAAGTATTCTGTACAACAGCTCTGCCTTAGCATTATCCAGGTCTTACAGAGACTTAAAAATGGGCAGGTGTTCATCATTAGTAGGTACCAAAATATACTATTTCTAATACATAATTCTAAATAGCATCTACATTTTCTAAGCAGTGACATACCTGAAACAAAAAGAGTCTAAAACGGAAAAAAAAATGTTCACTAGCAAAGGATGGCAAAGCTCCATGACCCATACCTTGGTTATTTGATTGTTCTGCTCATATGAACCTAAACACAACACCCTTTCAATGTAGCTCAGGTTGAGAGATAGCAACTGGCCTAAGGTCAGTTGTATCTGAATGGGGTGCTTGGAACATGTCATGGGTCCCAGATCAGGAATCATACAAAGCCTCCTACAACAGTGGCCCCAAGAAGGCGATGGATCCACTGTCCTTGCCATGTAGATCCACTGTTACTGAAGCCCTCCTTGAAACTGAAGAGGCATCTCTGCCAGCAGACACTGCTGACTGGACCACAGAGAGGATTAGGAAAGACACAAGGAGCCTTCTTGAAAATGTTCCCCCAACTTGAATCCCCACTGCCTGGAAGAACTGAACACCTGCAGGGAAAGGCCCTGGCCCGTTAATTGTCCAGATGCACCACTCAGGCAGCTGGGTTCTCACCTTGATCACCCAGCCCAGACTATCTGTCAGTTACTGCAAGGCACTGCTGAGACAACATCATATTGTCTCAGGGGTCAGGGCTGCCTGGGAGTGGGTCCCAGCCAACAAAATGGCTGGGGCAGGTTCCACAGGGGGGGATGCACTGGGAGGGCCTTCTGGTGGTTCCCTCACTGCAAGAAGTAAGGTTACAGGGAAC